ATCTATACTTGTGTCTGCATCTATATACTCTGTGTCTGTATCTATGTCTACATACATACATACACACACACACACACACACACACACACACACACACACACACACACACACACAGCCACACACATGCCAGCATCTATACCTCAGTCTGTGTCTATAATTTTCTGTGTCTGCATCTATACTCTGTGTCTGTATCTATACTTGTGTCTGCATCTTATACTTCAAAAACGACGCATTGTGCCTGTATCCATACTTCTGTTTGTATCTATGCCTCAGGTCTGTATCTATACCGTGTCCGTATCTATACTCTGTGTCCGCATCTATACTTGTGTCTGCATCTATACTCTGTGTCTGCATCTATACTTGTGTCTGTATACCCATACTGTGTCTGCATCTATACTCTGTGTCTGCATCTATACTTGTGTCTGTGTCTATACTTGTGTCTGCATCTATACTTGAACTATGCATTCATACTTGTGTTCAGACTATACTCTTGTGTCTACCCATACTTGTGTCTGCATCTATACTTGTGTCTGTATCTATACTTGTGTCTGCATTCATACTTGTGTCTGTATCTATACTCTGTGTCTGCATCTAATTCTAGTTCATCTATACTCTGTGTCTGTATCTATATTTGTGTCTGCATCTATACTTTGACTGCATCTATACTTCTGTGTCTTATTCATACTTGTGTCTGTATCTATACTTGTGTCTGTGTCTATACTTGTGTCTGTATCTATACTTGTGTCTGTATCTTATACTCTTGTGTCTGTATCTATACTTGTGTCTGTATCTGTTTGTGTCTGCATCTATACTCTTCTGTGTCTGTATTCATACTTGTGTCTGCATTCATACTTGTGTCTGTATCTATACTCTCTGTGTCTGTATTCATACTTCTGTGTCTGCATCTATACTTGTGTCTGTATCTATACTCTGTGTCTGTATTCATACTTCCCTTTGACTGTATCTATACTTCTGTGTCTGTATCTATACTCTCTGTGTCTGTATCTATACTTCAGGCCCTGTGCTTGTACTTGTGTCTGTGTCTTATACTTCAGTCTGCATTCATACTTGTGTCTGTGTTTGTACTTGTGTCTTGTGTCTCACTTGTGTCTGTGTCTATACTTTTTGTACTTGTGTCTGTATCAACTTGAATGTGTACACAATGAAGTTTAAACAATGGGAACTTTAACTTAGGATTGTTTGCTTATTGTTGTTATTTTGATGTAACTTTTACCTGGCTGAGTGTGTTTTTATGTACCTGTATTTGTAACCTGTACCTCTGTTGTAACCTGTACCTGTATTTATAACATTACCTGTATTTGTAACCTGTACCTGTATTTATAACCTGTACCTGTATTTGTAACCTGTACCTGTATTTGTAACCTGTACCTGTATTTGTAACCTGTACCTGTATTTGTAACCTGTACCTGTATTTGTAACCTGTACCTGTATTTGTAACAACCTGTAACCTGTACCTGTATTTGTAACCTGTACCTGTATTTGTAACCTGTACCTGTATTTGTAAACCTGTACCTGTATTTGTAACTGTACCTGTATTTGTAACCTGTACCTGTATTTGTAACCTGTACTACTTGTAACCTGTACCTGTATTTGTAACCTGTACCTGTTTTGTAACCTGTACCTGTATTTGTAACCTGTACCTGTATTTGTAACCTGTACCTGTATTTGTAACCTGTACCTGTATTTGTAACCTGTACCTGTATTTGTAACCTGTACCTGTATTTGTAACCTGTACCTGTATTTGTAACCTGTACCTGTATTTGTAACCTGTACCTGTATTTTAACTATAACCTGTACCTGTATTATGTGTACCTGTAACCTGTACCTGTATTTGTAACTTGTACCTGTATTTGTAACCTGTACTATGTAACTGTAATTGTATTTGTAACCTGTACCTGTATTTGTAACCTGTACCTGTATTTGTAACCTGTACCTGTAATTGTAACCTGTACCTGTATTTGTAACCTGTACCTGTATTTGTAACCTGTACCTGTATTTGTAACCTGATTATTAACCTGTACCTATGTAACCTACCTGTATTTGTAACCTATACCTGTATTTATATGTACCTGTATTTGTAACCTGTACCTGTATTTGTAACCTGTACCTGTATTTGTAACCTGTACCTGTATTTGTAACCTGTACCTGTATTTGTAACCTCTTCACCTGTATTTGTAACCTGTACCTGTATTTGTAACCTGCCTGTATTTGTAACCTGTACTGTATTTGTAACAGTTACCTGTATTTGTAACCTGTACCTGTATTTGTAACCTTAACCTGTATTTGTAACTGTACCTATTTGTAACCTGTACCTGTATTTGTAACCTGTACCTGTATCTATACCTATACTGAAAAGATTTGTTCTCGTATTTTTCCGTTACTGTATATGTTCTTGTAACTGTACTTGCATATACATCTACACTACCTGCTGTATTTGTACAGTGTATTCCTGAACTTGCACCAGTACAAATACTGTAATTATATGAAAGTAAAGATACAGATACAAGTAAATTGAGTCATATATATTAATTTATTGTTTTAACATATGTGCCTTCAGCTGTTCTTGCACGTGTACCTTAATCCGTACTTGTACCTTTACCTGCACCAGTAACTGTAACTCCATTATTTCACAATTAAGAGGAGCGCTACACCGCTTCACTACCAGCATTATATTCTCCACAAATTCAATAATGAACATCTAACTAAACTGACATGAGGTATTATTTTCTTCACAAACAAAAACTCGGTTTGGTATAATTCGCAGCTGTTACTTTTTTCATTACTATTATGAATATTATATCAGGTTTCCTATAATAATATATCTATACCAGGCAGGTGAGGTCGTGGTGTTGACTGAGGTGTTTGATGAGCTACTACACCACTATACCAGGTGCTGGTATATATTCAGGCGTTTTACGACACTATAACTCACTATACCAGGTGTTTACTACATATCTCACTATACAAGGATTTTACTACACTATATCTCACTATACCAGGTGTTTTACTACACTATATCTCACTATACCAGGTGTTTTCTTCCTATAACTCACTATACCAGGTGTTTTTACTACACTATGACTCACTATACCAGGTGTTTTACTACACTATGACTCACTATACCAGGTGTTTTTACTACACTGACTCACTATACCAGGTGTTTTACTACACTATGACTCACTCTACCAGGTGTTTTACTACACTATATCTCACTATACCAGTGTTTACTACACTATGACTCACTATACCAGGTGTTTTCACACTATGACTACTATACCAGGTGTTTTATTACACTATGACTCACTATACCAGGTGTTTTACTACACTATGACTCACTATACCAGGTGTTTACTACACTATGACTCACTATACCAGGTGTTTACTACACTATGACTCACTATACCATGGGCCAAAGGAGTAACCCGCCCTTATGCCCCTGAACTCTCACCTTTGCGCACTAAAACAACAAGAAGGCTGACGCACGCGTTTGAAGGTGAAAGATCACAGCGTGCGGCAGGTGTCCCGTCTACCACCCGCCACCAATGTACACACTAACCCCTAAAACACCTCAATGCAGAAACTAACTATCGGCAGGTGACAATAAGTTAATTGAGCTAAGACTGCACTAATTATTACCGATAATTTGTGCGTTATCAATAAATTTGTTTTGCCAGATTGTTAAAATAATAATAGTATTAATAACAAAAATAATAATAATAATATCTGTAATAATAACAAAAAATATTATTGATACTAACAATAACAACGATAATAATATTATCGGCAATTATTATAAACATTATTATTATTATTATTATTATTATATAATATTATTACATAACTTAATATCGACAGAGATGTAAAAAAAACACTAAAATAACCGTACAGCCCCTAACATCTACAAATCTCTGCCCCCTGCCCCCGCCCCCACATTAATTAAATAATTAATTTCACTTAATTTGTAACCATCATGTACTGCACAAGTGTAACCTAATACATCACCTTATGTATCTGGAGACGCTCTGTGTTGCTTTAGAACAGTAACAAGGAATGCCCACTCTTTCTTCCTCCTCTTAGCCCTAATATGTGTGCGGCCCCTTACCTGCAATGACGGTTGTATACCTCACATTTATAGTGTTGATATATATATATATATATATATATATATATATATATATATATATATATATATATATATATATATATATTAATAGTTATTTTTTACGGTCATTAGCCCACCCAAGCATAGGTAATTTTAATGACCCCCATCACGACCTGGGGGAAATATAATAATAATAATAATAATAATAATAATAATAATAATAATAATAATAATAATAATAATAATAATAATAATAATAATAATAATAATAATAATAATAATAATAATAATAATAATAATAATAATGATAATAATAATAATAATAATAATAATAATAATAATAATAATAATGATAATAATAATAATAATAATAATAATAATAATAATAATAATAATAATAAATAAAAATATAAATAAATAACAATTATAAAAAGAAAAAACATTAATAATAATAATAATTATTACTACAAATTATAAATAATAATAATAATAATAATAATAATAATAATAATAATAAAATAATAATAATAATAATAATAATAATAATAATAATAATATAGAGAACATAAATAAATTAATAAAATATCATAGTGATAAACAATATATGTATGTTGTGTTGTCAATAGTAAGAGAAACAATTGAGACCCTGCGATTGTGTGTAAATGAGGCAGAAAGTCAGATCAGCAACCTGGACTTTGGTCATACCAGGTGCTATGGCAGCAGGGTCCACCATTAGACAACACATTGTGCCAATATCTTCCCAGGCGGTAGTAACTCCCTGTTTAATAGCTGCCTACCACCTACTGGTGAACCAGTGATTTTACACACACACACACACACACACACACACACACACACACACACACCACCACCTGGCTGGATAAGTCGGACGTCGAGGATCTTGTCAACCTGTGAATTGTAAGCGGTGATGTGGAAGACACACTCGGGGTGTCCTGATGCAGGTGATGTTGACGGGCACTAAGTCTTCGAGACCTGCTGCCACTTGACCGTTCCCGACCCCGACGATGACGTGGAATACCTCCGCCCATAGCCTGTGGAGAGGAATACATGGAGGATTAATAAACGTGAGGACACGTGGACGGTTAATAAAGGTGAGACACGGACGGTTAATAAGTGAGGACACGGACGGTTAATAAAGGTGAGGACACGTGGACGGTTAATAATAAAGAAGGTGAGGACACGTGGACGGTTAATAAAGGTGAGGACACGTGGACGGTTAATAAAATTGAGGACACGTGGAAGGTTAATAGGTGAGGACGTGGACGGTTAATAAAAGTGAGGACACGTGGACGGTTGATAAATGAGGACACGTGGACGGTTAATAAAGATGAGGACACGTGGAAGGTAATACAGTCAAATACCGGCGAACTAACGGATAACGACGGAGAAATGAGCAATAATCAGAACAGATATTTTTCAAAAATTTTCGCCACCGAAATTTACAACATAATACCCGAGGCACCGACTAGACTGTATACAGAATAGTGAAAGAAAATAGATTAGCGAGAGATAGTAGTGACTAGTAACGATGTTAATAAACAAATAGACAAACTAAATCCTAAAGGCACCAGGTCCCAATGAGATATTTGCCGGAGTATTAAAGTAAGGAAAGGAAGAGCTTAGTATGCCCGCCAATTTTTTAACATGTCATTAAAACAGGTGTAGTACCAGAATCCTGGAGGATAGTGAATGTGATACTGATTTTCCAAGAAGGAGGTAATTACTATCCGCAACTGCCGTCCCGATCAGTTTAACATCGATTGTAGGCAAACTGGAAACAGTAATTTCAAACCTATTCGAAATCACCTGGAAGGCACAAGTTGATCATTGATTCCCAACATGGCTTCACAAGTGGGCGTTCGATCTGACAACAATCTTATCGACTGTTTTCCGAATCAGTGGATGATGGACACAAGTATGATGTGGTATATCGACTGGAGTCCCCACAAAAGACTAATACGAATTGGAGGAGGTATTCTAAAATGGATTAAGGGCGTAGTTACAGGACAGTAAACAGACAGCAAACATTAACGGCACTAAATCCGATTGAGGTAACGCCACTAGTGGAGTACCCCATGCTCAGCACTTGGACCATTACTATTTACTATATACATACGCGACATATATATAGGAGCAGACAACAATATAAGTAAATTTGCTGACGACGCTAAAATAGGGCGTGTAATTAAATCCGAAGAAAACTCCGCAAAACTACAGGAAGATCTTAAAAAATTTCGCATGGTCTGAAAAATGGCAGATGAAATATAACGTGGACATATGTTTAAGTACTTTGTCTCAGAAATGTAAACAGAGAAACCAGATATCAGATGAACAACGTTGTTACAGAGAAATTCGACTGTGAGAAAGATTTAAGAGTAATGATAAGTAGGAATCTTAAGCCAAGACAACAATGAGTATTTAAAGAAGCTAATAAGTACTTGGGTTCATACAAAGGAGTGTTAGTTACAAAACTAGCGAGGTCATCCTACAACTACATTTTGCGCTTGTGAGACCTCACTTGGAGTAAGCGGTTCAGCTCTGGTCACTGTTTTACAGAATGGATATAGAATCCTTAGAAAGAATTCAGAGGAGAATGACAAGACTAATCCCGGGCATTAGGACCCTTGAGTAGAAACAGGTTAAAGCATCTTAATTTGCACTCCCTCGAGAGACGTAGAGTGAGGGGCGATGTGATAGAGGTGTATAAATGGATGTCAGGGTTAAACATTTGTAATATAACAAAGGTACTACTATCCAACCAGGAGCGAACTGGTAGCAATGGTTTTAAATTAGACATATTTAGATTTTGGCGCGAGATAGATAAACACTGGTTTGGAATAGATCGATGAATGGAACAAGTTACCAAACATCATCATTAAACTCGAATACGCTGGATAGCTTCAAAATAGGTTAGACGGATATATGAAGGACACGGTTAACGTAAACGAACTGCCCAGTTTGGGCCAATAAGCCGCTGCAGCTTCATTCACAATATCAAAGGTGAGGACACGTGGAAGGTTAATAAAGGTGAGGACACGGAAGGTTAATAAGAGCTAGGACACATGGAAGGTTGATAAAGGGGAGGACATGGACGGTTAATAAGAGCTAGGACACATGGAAGGTTGACAAAGGAGGACACGTGGAAGGATAATAAGAGCTAGACACATGGAAGGTTGATAAAGGGACACGGACGGTTAATAACGGTGAGAACACGTATAAATGTGGAGACACGTGAAGGTTAATAAGAGCTAGGACACATGGAAGGTTGATAAGGTGAGGACACGTGACGGTTAATAACGGTGAGAAAACGTGAAGGTTAATAAAAGGTGAGGACACGTGGAAGGTTAATAAAGGTGAGGACATCGAAGGTTAATAAAGGTGAGGACACGTGGAAGGTTAATAAAGGTGAGGACACGTGGAAGGTTAATAAAGGTGAGGACACGTGGAAGGTTAATAAAGGTGAGGACACGTGGAAGGTTAATAAAGGTGAGGACACGTGGAAGGTTAATAAGAGCTAGACATGGAAGGTTGATAAAGGAGGACACGAAGGATAATAAAGGTGAGGACACGTGAAGATTAATAAAGGTGGTGAAGACACGGAAGGTAAATAAAGTGAGGACACGTGGAAGGTTAATAAAGGTGAGGAACATCGGAAGGTTAATGTGGAGGACACGAAGGTTAATAAGAGCTAGGACACATGGAAGGTTGATAGTGAGGACACGTGACGGTTAATAACGGTGAGAACACGAAGAAGAAGGTGAGGACACGTGGAAGGTTAATAAGGTGAGGACACGTGGAATAAATAAAGAGACACGTGGAAGGTTATAAAGGTGAGGACACGAAGGTTAATAAAGGTGAGGACACGTGAAGGATAATAAAGGTGAGGACACGAGAAGGTTAATAAAGGTGAGGACACGTGGAAGGTTAATAAGAGCTAGGACACATGATAAAGGTGAGGACACGTGGAAGGATAATAAAGGTGAGGACACGTGGAAGATTAATAAAGGTGGTGAAGACACGTGGAAGGTTAATAAAGGGAGGACACGTGAAGTAAAGGTGAGGACACGAAGGTTAATAAGAGCTAGGACACATGGAAGGTTGATAAAGAGGAGGACACGGGAAGGTTAATAAGAGCTAGACACATGGAAGGTTGATAAAGGTGAGGACACGTGAAGGTTAATAAGAGCTAGGACACATGGAAGGTTGATAAAGGTGAGGACACGATCGGTTAATAAAGTGAGGACACGTGGGAAGGTTAATAAAGGAGGACACGAAGGTTAATAAAGGTGAGGACACGTGGAAGGTTAATAAGAGCTAGGACACATGGAAGGTTGATAAAGGTGAGGACACGTGGACGGTTAATAACGGTGAGAACACGTGGAAGGTTAATAAAGGTGAGGACACGTGGAAGGTTAATAAAGGTGAGGACACGGAAGGTTAATAAAAGAGGACACGGAAGGTTATAAAGGTGAGGACACGTGGAAGGTTAATGGTGAGGACACGTAGGAGGATAATAAAGGTGAGGACACGGGAAGGTTAATAAAGGTGAGGACACGGAAGGTTAATAAGAGCTAGGACACATGGAAGGTTGATAAAGTAGACACGAGGATAATAAAGGTGAGGACACGTGGAAGATTAATAAAGGTGGAAGGTTAATAAAGGAGAATGAAGGTAGGTTAATGGAAAGTTAAGGGACATGACTGGAAGGTTAATAAAAGCGTGAGACACGGAAGGATAATAAAGGTAAGGACACGTGGAAGATTAATAAAGAGACACGGAAGGTTAAGTGAGGAAACGTGGACGCATCTCCACCTATGAGAGGTCAGTGACAGGTGAGGTATAACAGGTCAGAGAAAGCTGAAACGGCTTAGTCCTAAACCTGAAGAGGGAGCGGGAGGCGAGTCTGGGTGTTGCTAGTGTGATGGCCAAGTTCTGAAGACGACGGCGGTGACACTAAGGGCATATGGTGGAGTCCTGAGAGAGAGAGAGAGAGAGAGAGAGAGAGGAGAGAGAGAGAGGGAAGGAACACACACACCACAAAAGAAACTCACTGTAAAGAGAAAAGAGAAAATTGTGAGGAGTTTCAAAGGAAAATGAAACGAAATAGAGAGACAGAGAGACATGTGAGGGAAGAATTTAAAGAGTGTAACAGAGAGGAAAGGAAAAAAAGTAGGAAAAATATGAAGTAAAGGGGATTAACAGAAGGGGACCTGAAGGACACACACACACACCAACACACACACACACACACACACACACACACACACACACACACACACACACACACACACACACACAGTGAGACAGGATGTAATGCACCAACTGACAGAGACTGACAGACAAACTCGGCATCAGGTGAGGCTGACAGGGGAGACACTAATTACCAGGAGGCAGGTGTTACCTTTGCACTGAAAGTGTAGGCGTGTGTGGGGTGTGGAGGCGGGTGGGAGGTGGTGGGGTGGTGAGAAGTGGTGGAGGTGTGGTGGAGCGTGGGTGGTGGTGGAGACGAGAGGGTTGTGGTGAAGGCGTGGTGGTGGGGCAAGCGTGTGGAGGAAAGGATTGATGGTGCTAAAGGTGTGTTGATGGTGCTGGTGGTGGTGGGATGGTGCTAGTGGAAGCGTGGTGGTGGAGGAGGCAAGGGAAGGTGTGGTGGTGGTGGTGGTGGACGCGTATGTGAGAGACCTGGATACTGAGGAAGTTTAATGGTGAGGAGGAGCATGGAGGAGGGAGTAGAGAGGGAATGAAAAGACATAGAAGGAGGGAGGGAGGGAATGAAAGTGGGGATGAAAGGGAGGATGGAAACGAGACCGTGAGAGGCTCATAGATGGTAAAGGATGTGAGAAGAGAGAAGATAAAGATATATAGGGAAGGGAGAGGACAACGGGGTGAGTGTTTGAGGTCAGAGAGAGAGAGATGGGCGCAATAAATCACTTAAAATAGAGATAATCCCCAAGATAAATCGTCTCATTCCATCCTCTACAATACATCAGCAAGAAGCTGTGTGAAACAATAAATATTTCTTTCTTATCGG